CACCCCCTTCCTGGCCAGGCCATTTTTCAGTATTTAGCACTGCAGTACTATGACTGACAATTATTCAGTCATACGACGCTGTACTGAAATTAATTTTAGATAATTTTTTTGGGACAGATAGAGCTTTCTTTTGGTGGTATTTAATGACCACTTTTATTTTTTACTATATAGCGAAAAAACTACCGGACATTTTGGGAAAAAAAAAAACAGTTTTCCCTGAGTTATGTTATGAAACATTTATTATTACCCAATTTTTGGGAAAATATAAAAGACGGTGTCATGTCGGGTAAATAGACACCAAACATGTCAAGCCTTAAAATTGCATGCACCCTCGAAATCGCAAGAGAACTACCAAACCCAATATTGGCCATAGGCGATGTTTTAAAAGCTTTTATTGCTCATCAATTTAGTGTTATCAGTGATTGATGACCCTAGAATTATTGCTTATGCTCCGACGTTTGCGGTGATATGTAACATGTGCGGCGTAATCGGCGCAATCATAATTTTTGCACGTAGGCGCACCAGACGCATGTTTGCGTGTATATGGAAGGGTGGGGGACTTTTTTAAAAAAAATTGTTTTTTTTTAAAATTTTAGATGTGATTTTAATTTTTTTTGTTGTAACTTTCATTTTTTTTCCACTTAACTTTATTGCTATTACGTAGGGGGCTAACAGGTGATAGCCAAGATACAGTGACAGGTCCTCTTTATGGAGACATCAGGGGTCTCCAAGACCCTTAATGTCATCTAGGGACCCCAAGAGAAGCTGATGAAGCAGAGATCTGCTTCACCAGCTTTTCCCCAGCTCCTGTGGCCAGGAATCACAGCTGAATGCGGAAGTAATGTAATATACAGTACATCACTTCTTGCATTCAGAGAGCGGGGAAGAGATCGGAGGGGGGATCATATACCGAACTCCCTCTCATCTCCATTGACAGAACTGTCATGCCGGTCCTGGCCCGCACCGGGCACAGTGGAGCTCAGGATGGGGGGTGCACACCCGCATGCATAATACAAGCGATCAGACGTCTCTACAGACCGCGAAACGCTTGTATGTAAACAGCCATTGCTGGCTATTTACATTTCAAACAGATTTGGCGGGAAAGGACGTTTAAAAACACTCACCCTCATTCAAGAAGCCACCGTCCGGCCGTTTAATTACAATGGCCAGGCGACAGGTGGTTAACCACCATCGGACATACCTGTATGTCATGGTCTTTCAGTGGTTGAACTGAGATCATGGTTTATTTATTTATTACAGGTATTTATATAGCACGGACGATTTTTTGCAGCGCTTTACATAGTTGCACTTTAACATCAGACCCTGCCCTCAAGGAGCTTAAACTCTAAGGTCCCTATCTCACATGCATACATACTCCTTGCAGATAGTGCACTGACTGGGATTGAAACCAGAGACCATCAGTGCAGCAAGGCCGAAGTGCTAGCCATTATGCCACTGTGCTGCTGTAGCCATGATTTTGGTATAATTTTTCTCCAGCAGGGAAAGGGCTTTTGAGCAAAAGTGGTCTCAGTGGCTGCAGATCACTTGTACAAACCTTTAGAGGTGCCCG